CCCTGCTGTACCCACCTTTCCTCCTCCTTCCCTTCCCTTCCCTTCCTCGGAGGCGCCAGGAGCCACCAGCCGGGCTCGCCATGGCTTCGACCGCGACCTGCACCCGCTTCACCGACGAGTATCAGCTCTTCGAAGAGCTCGGAAAGTAAGTCCCGGAGAAGCCGACGGGCGGCCGCCCCGCGTGAGGGCCGTGGAAGGGCTTTGGGGGCGAGAGGCGGCAGCGCCGGGAAGGAGCCCCCGCCCGGCAGCCCGGGGTGTGTGTGTGAATCTGACAGCTGCGAGGGAAGCCACGCGAAGGCGGGGGGGGGTCGTGTGCATGCGCGCGGGATAAAGGCTCGCTTGGGGTTTTGTGGGGATCGCGGGAGAAGGGGCGCTTGGGGTCGGCCTGATCGCCACCCGGGTCAGACCTCGGCAAAAGGGGGGGGGTGTCACCGCCTCGCTAATACGCCCGCGGTTGCCTCTCCTCCGGGCGGGCGGGAGGAGCTGGCACGGCAGGAAGGTTCGGCTCCGCGTCCCGATCTCGCGGAGGGGAGGATAGGTGCGCGTCTGGAAGGAAGACCCAGCGGCTTGCCTCTTTGTCGCCCTGCTTTGCATGCGGCATCTGCTTTACGCGTTTCGGTGCCACGTTTATTGATTGCAGAAAGTTCAGCGCTCTGGGTCGTGCGAGCGAGCGCGTGTGTGTGTATGAATGTGGCCACGGGTGCCTGCCTTGCATGTAGGTATCGTACCCACTCACAGGAGACTCCCCTTCCCCGCGTCTTTATGAAGCGATTGTATGGGGGGACACACCTCGATGTTATGGCATCCATCACTCTTGGCCAGAACAGAATTACGGGCAGGGGGTTCTCCATTCTGGTCTGCGGTGGGGTGGAGGAGACCCTGGAGTCTTGGAAAGACGCGGATGATAAAATTGGACCCCTGGGCAGCAGTGTCGGTGGCTTGAATTTTAAGGTCCAATAAACGACAAAAACAGCAGCAGCAGCACACCTCCCACCCCCCCCACACACACACACACACAAACACACACACACACACCAAAAACGGGGTGTGTGTGTGGCAACACACTCAAGCTCCATGCAAATATTAGGAAATACAGTATAAAGATCCACAATAATCTACAGTATTGTTATGAGGAAGGAGTGCTTGGAAGTAAATGGACTCACAGTTTCTCTATTTGCATAGGATCAAAATGTGTGAATTTACTACTGTCCAATTTTGTGATATTATAAGGGCCTTGAGAATGCTTGACGGATGGCAGGAGTGCTAGTAAAATGGTGAACATGTCGTAAAGGGCAGTCGAATTCCTGTGTTCTTCCTCTGAAAGGAACTTGAAAATAAATGCCTCTTCTTAGAGCTGCATCTATTGAGATTTATGACATCCAAGCCACTCCAGTCCACTCCAGTGAGACCCAAATGTTTATGCGTAAATAAACAGAATGTGCTGTGATTTTACAGGTCAAAAGGGGGGCCTTATTATAAAGAGCATTAAAAAAAAAATCCACCATGGGTATATTCAGTGCCTTTAAGTGAATGAACTGCAAAAAATGCACACAACACCTGTGAATAACACAGCCACACATGCACAGTTCCTGCTTGTCAACACTACTGTGCATGCTGAGATGTCCATTTATTCAATCTGGTTAATAACATGGCTTATGCCCACATTTTAAATACAGTTTTCTGTTACAGCCTATCATATATTAAGTCTGATTGTCATGTTGTATTCATTTTCTTGCCTTCAGTATTGACACTGCTCAAATTGGTTAGTGTTCTCAGAATTTTTTCGACCAATTCTTAAATAGTGAATCCCCAGCAGAAATTGATCTCTCTCTGCTTTATTGGTTTGCAGGGGGGCTTTCTCTGTGGTGAGAAGATGTATGAAAATCACTACAGGACAAGAATATGCAGCCAAAATTATCAACACTAAAAAGCTGTCGGCAAGGGGTGAGTTTTCTCAAGTTAATGTATTTAATCAAGATTAAAATAAGTTGATATAGAAACGGATTGATTAAAAATGAATAAAATGAATAAAAATGAGGAGCTTACTCTTCTTCTGTCTTCCTATCTTTTGAAGGCCACATTTAACTTTCGGTATTTCTGGAATACTGCTCAGATCACCTGCAGTGCTACTTAGATGAACTATTTAGAGTTGTAATCTTGAAATTGGTTCTGTTATTACATTTGGAGGAAATGTCCCCCACCCCCCCCACGCCCCGTAGCTCTTACTGGAGAAAAGGAGGTCAAATCTTAATTGAATCATACTCTATTATTTTATTTAAGCATGAACTTAATTCATTATGGCATATTTAACAGGAAAAAACCTTGAGAGAAAAACATCCTGCTTCTCTTATTCTGTGCTTTGTTTGGAAGTCAATCTGATTTCATCAGATCTGTGAGCCAAGGCCATATTTCGAAGGAACTATTTTTTTTAACATCCATAGTGTATTGTTTTCCTTCCTTAAGACTTACAAATTTTCCACCTGATTTCACAGTGTTTCTGTGAGGAGCATTTTTCACGAGCGTAGCATTTCAAAATACTGTAAACATATTTCACTTTTTTCCTCCTGAAACAAACAGAAGCTACACAAGACTTAGTTTCCTCTTCATTTTTGTGATGCTTGCACAGAAGAAATTCCTGGTGGATTACATCCTATGCACATATATTTGGCTATTTCAACTAATGAAAGTAGTCCTTATGGTGGTGTATTTGTTCTTGGCAAATCCACCCTGATGCACTCGTATGGGGATGTTAAGGATTATGGATTATGCTGCGTTAACATCTGTGCTTTCATGTGAATGTCTGGCCTTTTCATGAGCATTGAAATGAGTGGAACCATTTGTTCAACATGCAGACCTGAATTTGTTCCTGTTATATTGGTGAAAAACAAGGGGCACGCATTTGCCTGCTTGAGTTTATGTTTTCATGACCAAATTTTATGAGTATGTTGCTTTTATGTGTACCTTGAACTTCTAAAGCTGCTGTAACAAATCAGGAAAGCCATCTTATTACATTGCCATATGTAGCCTGAGACAGGCATCCTTATCCCAAGCATGTTGACCTAGGAGGAGGGCATATTGGAGTCAAATGGGACACTTAGCTTTCTCCTATGTGTGTATTTTCAGAAATGAATTCCACTGGTTTCAGTAGAGTGCATTTTCAAGCAACAGTGACTAAGATTTTATGTGTGTGCATGTGTCTGGTCTCTGGGTGTCTGTGAATTTCATTGTATGGGTATACTGTGTATATACTTACAATGACAATCAATCAATCAATCAATCAATCAATCAATCAATCAATCAATCAATCAATCAATCAATAAAGATTATAGCTTCAGTGTCGTTGAAACTGAATGAGATTTGTGTGTGTGTGTGTGTATTAATACCATATCTCTAGCCTTTTGGTGCTCATAGCTCTGTGTTCCTATAATGTGTATGTGCTAATCATATGTTTGACTGTTATGCAGACTGAGGGGTTTGGTGTGTTTATGATAACTTAGATACATTCAAGATTTTTTTAAAGCAACCTATTGTGTAGATAAACATTAATGCAAATGTTCCCAAGGTATTTCTGTGGAAGTAATATATAGTATTAGTTAGATACGGAATCCTACTTATCACATCTTCTATATTAAGAAACAAAAAGAAATGTACAATACATTTTAGAGGCAAGCTAAACATCCAGAGTAGGCAACGGTAGCTTTTCCCTTGGTTGTTGTTGTGTTGGCCCTTATGGAGAATAAAAATTACAAATGGTTAAATGTTAGAAGCTCTTTTGCCATATTCTATATGTAGTTTGCTTATCAAGAGATCCCTCTTTTCCATCCCTGTTCATTTTACCGTCACATGTTAAGAGTGACTTGTCTTCATCAAGGAGTTCTCTGTATCTTCAGGATAGGGGCATATGTGTGATTTTCAAGCCATGTTTTCCAGACTCCAAATTCATATAAGAAGCCTCTGTAGATAGCTGCTGCTGAAGATAGTCACTCATGCATTCAACCTATGCTGATCTTATAGTCAACATTCTGCCCACTATGGTCACTGTTTATATTCTTGAATCTGTAAGCTTTTGTGTGAGGAAGCCATTTGTCATCCCTGAAGCCTCATGCTGTAGTGGATTTGATGGTCTTACAAGTCGCTTTGGTACAACAGACTAGCATGGCAGCTTTTAAAATTCCTTAACTTGTGAAGGGCAGTGAGGGTCATGATGGATGGAATGGAGCTAGTGTGCCCATTGTTATTCTCTCTTGTCTTGTTTTGATCAAAGCTGTGTATGGAATGCCTGAGCAGATTTGAAGCTCTATAAATACGTGTGTACTCTGTATGAGAAATTGAATGAAGTGATGTCCATCTGATTTGTTCTGCAGCTTGTATACTCTTAGTTTTTAACTGGTAAATTAAAACTTTTAGTTTATTACTTACATTTGGGTTGATGCTTCAGACTTTTCCCAGGGCAGTGATAAACAATGAGTTCCTTCCTTAGCTGATAGTTTAAAACTGCATGTATACATCTGTACTGAGGATATCTCTTGGAATTGTTAGGAAATCCATTTTGTCATCTCTCGTACTAATTCATATAATCTGTAGATTTGAAATTCTTATAATATCGTAGTGAGCATATCATTTGCTTTTTCTTCAGGCATAGAAAATTGAGTGATTGAGAGAAATCTGTGTGTGGTAGGTATCTAGATAAGTTGCAAGATATGTTGATAAGTGTGGAACATGTTTCTCCAGTGATACTGTTTTTAAAAGATTTTTACTGAATTGGAGAAGATAAGATGCCACATCACATGGTGACATGTGGCATGTTTTAATCGTTCCATCAAATGATTTTTTCCCTTTAAACTATGGGTTTTTAGAAAGAGATTGGTGACCAGGAAGGAATATACATTTTTAAAAAAATGGTTTGTATTGCTTAGAAAGAGATAGAGATTCATGAGGAAGTGTGTGGGAAGAGTGGAAGAGAAAGGAATGTTAAAAAATAAATTTAAAAAAAGAGAGAGGAATGGAAAAAAACAGAATACATAATAACAAGACGAGAAGATAAATCTCAAGTACAGATTAAGAGGAAGGTGATAGTTTCAGGTAGGGTATGTGATGGTTAGTGGGGCTAGTTTGTATTAACTAGAAGAACTGCTAGTGTGTATTAACTAGAAGAACCTTCTTTTCTAAAAAGATGGAGCAGAAATAATAACATGTATTAAGAATTTCAAAAATCACATTGTTACCTATAGGTGTTTGCTGCAGATCAGTCTCTGAAGATAATCTGGGTTGGATCCATCCAGAATGCAGAAATGGGTTCCGTATCTGCTCCTCCGTACTCTTCAAAGAAAAAACAAAAACAAAGTGCAAATAAATAAATAACCAATGGCAAATTATAAAGCTGGTACAGTACTCAGTTATGTTCTCACATGATAGGCACATTCTTTAATTTCATGTTCAGTCCAGCAGCCACCCTGATTGACATGTTGGACATTTATGTGCTTTCCCCTTGAATACAGAGAAAGTCAAATGATAATTTATTTCTCTTGCTAGGAGGGTTTTCTGTGATCCTAAAGAGATTTCCTTCCCATGCAAGACATTTAAAGGAGAAAATAGAACCTGTGAGTTATTTTTTAGCATCCTGAGGGTATGCTTTCTCTGACTCTGAATGGCTAGAGGCTACTTTGCAAATCAAATGAATAAATCATTATTCTAGATTTTTTTTACATCTGTTTTCTTGTGATTTCCAGATATTAGTGTCTGACTTCAGTAGCACCTGGGCAGGCTTATTCTCAACCATTTCCATTTCTGTGCCTCAGAATGTAACTAGCTTTCTAGGTGTTTCTGGTCTGCTTTTTCTACAATGTTTCATTGTCTTTGTTTGGTTAGGTTAAAGAATGCAATATTTGTGTTCCAAGAAGACTGTTAATGCTACTATGTTCATAATTTAGTAACAGTATGTAGAGCTGTTTTTGTAAAATCTAGCTCGTAAATAAAATAAGAAGGATGAGATAAGAGTTTGCTGGCTGGCTAGCTCAGTGAGTTAGATATCTAACTGTGGAGTTAGGTATCTAACTGTGGTTGTGGAGCAAAGGTTGAGAGTTCAGTTCTTTACTGTGTATCCCCAGAGGAGCCAGCCTCCGTGGCTTTGGGCAAGCTGCAAGTCCCAGGATGCCCCCAGAACAAGAGAATTGTAAACCATTTCTTAGTACTCTGTAGATCAGTGGTCCCCAACCTTGGGCCTCCAGATGTTCTTGGCCTTCAACTCCCAGAAATCCTGGCCAGCAGAGGTGGTGGTGAAGGCTTCTGGGAGGTGTAGTCCAAGAACATCTGGAAGCCCAAGGTTGGGGACCACTGCTCTAGGTCACTGGTTCTTAACCTTGGGTTACTCAGGAGTTTTGGACTGCAACTCCCAGAAGCCTTCACCACCAGCTGTCCTGACTGGGGTTTCTGGGAGTTGCAGTTCAAAAGCATCCGAGTAACAAAGGTTAAGAACCACTGCTCTAGATGGAAAGTGTTACCATAAGTGAACATTGACTTGATGGCACACAGGTATTATGAAGACAACATAGTATTTCTATGGTGTTTATGCATTAAACATATTCTACAAGTCAGTCACAGGTTTTTTGAAAGGGAGTGGAGAGAAAAAAGAAGCATTAAACTTCTCTTATATCCGTCAATGTTTTAATCCAGTTTTTCTTATAGCTCCATGGCTGTCCCCTCTGCTGATATTCATCCTTTTCTCTTTCCCTATTCCACTGCCTCCTCTACTTCTTGCCCCTTCTCTTGTTTTTCTTCTTTGGAGAATGACTATTCAGCTCTTGAAACATGAACATTAACTGGAGAGTTGTGTCTCCTACTTTAGTGGGGAAAAAAAGAAGCACAAGTGTCTAGTTTAGTCACTAGAAGAGTTTACTGTCTCCCTCTTTTGGTTGTTTTTGTGGCAGTGATGGGATTAATTTTCT